GGTCAGCCAGAGTATTGCTGCTGAAAATGGAAATTCTGTATATAAGTGTAGTTGGCAACCACTTGTGAGGTGTGGATAGCTCTGGGGGCAAAACGTCAAATTTGTTCCATGGCTTACACTTTTGCCCATTAATAGTTGCTTCAATGACTAGATCTGAGTCAAGCCTTTAAGGCAATAAGATCAGTGTTCCACCTAGGAGTTTGACCCTTAACACATTTTGAGTCAAGATTTTTGACCACTTCTAAAGACTGTTGTGTAGTATCACATTTGAATGAATGGGGAAGTGTTGACCTTTGTTTAGGTTTTGGAATCTTCACTTTCTTGTTGGTTTGACCTGTTGTGATGTTTGTCATACCAGCACAGCAGATGTAGAAAATATCAAATCAGACAGCGATATTAAAGAGTATTGGTGATTGTGTACTGATCAAAATGTGCATCATGATGCCACTTTGAACCTTGTTGCTTTCCTTGCTCAGCTTGGTTTTTAGTTGGCCCTTAATTTGCATTTCCTGATTCATTGAACATAAAGAGGAACCATTATCTTAATTACCATCTCCTCTAATTAAGAAATACTGTTTTAGTGACATTGATCACTGAAGTCCCTGGTTGTATTGGCATAGGTAGTGGCTGTAGTTGGACATAAGAAACTGTTGGTAACCCCACATTACCAGCAGTTTTGTTATATGCACTGAACCCCATTTTATAATTGCATGTTCCTACAAATAAAAACGTGGATCTGAATTTGAGTGTCCTTTTTCCTTGTCCCATTTAATGTTAGACTATCAGGATGTTTTCTCCTTGGTCTGCAGATGGTTTATAATGAAATCTGACCACCGTGAAATGATGCATTTCTTTTTGTAGCTCACCTTTTTGTGTGTGTGAAAAGGTTGACATGCCAACAGGATCTGTTAATTTCCAATTTAATGTGGCATCATGTGGCTACTTTAAAGTTTTGAGTTTTAAATGGACCCAGTTTTGTACCCAACATGGTAACATTGGTGGTGATTCTTATTCAGTAATGGTGCTTGGTGTTTGTCATTTGTACTGTCAGTAGAAATGCAAATCTGTTCAGTTGGCTATATACAACTGCTTGTTTTGAGCTCCTGAATTCAAGTGCAAGCAAGGGTAACATCTTGACTTTCTTTCCTACAGCAGGAAATGCTTATTCTTCTGGTAGACAGAGCGGTTATTCAGTGCTGTCAGTAAGGAGCTGTAAGTGTTAATGACAGCTTTTGCACAGGGAAGCTCTGCATTAGCTTATGCATGACTTTTCAAAATTTAAGATGTTAAAGTGCAAACCTTCAGTGGATACTTTTTGTGCAGAGATGTTTTTCTTAAGCCCGATTTTAGGGTTATCTTTTGGGATGGACTGAATTGCAATCTGATATACCTGGGGTGTACTGGTTACTTTTTGATTAAGTAGGAAAATGGGGTGGCATGATATCTTGGTACCTTAAGGCAGCAAGAGTGGGGAATGCCTGATGCTCCCCTTTCACTGCAGCTGATTTGCTGAAGTGCAAATTTTGATTTGTTACTATTGTAAGGGTGTACACCTTGATCTAGTTATAGTTAAGCAGTATGTGTAAAATCTAGATCACAGTGGCTTTCACATAACGTTCTTTGGCTATGCCTTGGCCTTTAGGCTCTCTGCATGGCGTAAGAGTTTGCTATGTACATGCTGGAGTACATGCTTCTGCTTTATAGAATCTTAAGTTAAAGTTGTTTTCCAAGTTTCTTCTAAACAGTACCATCAAACCTGGCATCCAGAATGCAAGCACAAATCTAAACATACAAGGGGATGGAATGACTATAGGACTGGTAACTATTAGTAAAGTCTCTTTAAAGTTTAAATTTTCTGTTGTTGTAATGAAGTTTTCATGAAGGGCTTTGTACTTCTGCATAGGTTTCCCGAGATATCCTTCCCAGGACCATTCCTTTTTTCAAACCTTCAATGGTGGCTGGCCAGTCAGAAGTGGTATACTGGAATTTGAATGCATGTGATCTGACCTTAACACGGCACACTTTCAGCTTTTCCCAGTTCATGGATTTTTAAAAGTAAATCCATATTGGTTTTTAAATCGCAATATAAAATTCATGAACTTGGTTTAGTTAGTTGTTGGAGCATGCTTCTAATGTACTTATTGGGGGGAAAGACATGTAGGTTCTGCATGCTGTGCTGTAAAACTTTCTTGGTGGTTAAGAATTTAATATTCACTACCAAGTAGTGTAGTTCAGTTGGCTAATAAGATTAAGACCAGTTTTGCTGATCGAGTGGTACAAATATTCTATTGTCTTTGTCAGTGGGGTTAGCTTTCCAGGTCTCCTTAGTTGGGGAAATGAGCTGTAGTGGTGAACGGCTTTCTCTGTAAGAGCTCTTAACTGTGCAGTAGAGTTGGGCAGTGATCCTGTTTAACCATTATTCATTGATCCTATGAATGCAGATCATTTAGTCTTACTGAAGGTATTTCAGTTTTTGTTCAAGTTGATACTTGGTTTAATGTGATGGTGAGAATCTGTTTTTGTTTAAAATGGAAGTTTTGGAATCTTTTTTTTTTTTTTTTTTAGCTGTGACAACCAAAGAGCTCTGAGTATGATCCTCTTTTATTAGTGGAATCTTTACTGCCCAAATCCTTGATTTATCTATAGAATAAAGTTGGGATCAAATGATTTAGTATTGATGCTCCATCTGAGTTTCTAGTCAATTGGAACAAGTTAGACATTTCTAACTTGTTTTATATGTTGGAATACGGTTTATTAAAGCTACGAATTCTAATAGGAGACCCAGGTGTGCTTGGGTAGAACACTTACCAGTTGTACTCATGTTTTGCATGGCTTTTGAGACTGACTGAACTAACGTTCAAATTAAGTGTCATATCAAACGTTTAGTAAAGTTTTTAAGTCTTAACTCCATTGTAGTACATTATTGCATTCAGAAGCTTAATTGTTGTACTGACCCTTCATATTCTTGGATTTAAGACCTATAATTTTCTACAATTGAGTAGGAAGGATTTTAAGTTGTAGTCCTGAGCTGCTTGAGAACATGACTGTAGGTAAAAATCTTTAATGGCCTTAGTAAAATGTGTTAAGAGTATGGCGTTTGACGTTTTGCTATACACAATATTGCAGTAAGTTTAGTTTTGTTATTGCAAAATATCAAAGTAACAAGCATTGCTGAACTTTAAGTGTGCTGTGATCCAACGTTTGAGCACTTTTTGATGTGGAATGTGTATTCTTACTTCTTGCTTGAACAAACAGACTGTAGTGTAGAATCGGGTTTGTAACCATGTTTGTTGCTTCCAGCCTCTCCTGCCCTAACTGATAGCAGTATGACCACCGATGGGAATGATGATGACACAGCCAGTGTCCTCAGCTGGGCTGATCGCTGTGGTAAATGTTACAGTTAAGGAGTGGCATGACTCCCTGCCCCCATCACTTGGTTCCAACTGAATCCCTTTTAAATGAAGGAGTTGTTGATTTTTTTTTTTCATTGCAGTAGGGAATGTAAGAATACTTTTTTGTAAATAGTCCCTGAGCATTTCTTGTTCCTACTGGGGGATATTTTCCCTTGGCTGGCTCACTTTAGCTGCGTGTGCAGCTATTTGCGCTCCATGAACTTGCTTAGCCAGCAATCTGTCTGTGAGTTCTTTCCAAGCATGGCTGAAACCAATGTCCTCATGTTGTAGAAATGAGATATAGTACTTTTTTTTTACAGGAACATAGAGTAAATGCTTAACTAGAGTAAGCACTTAACAGAAGATGCAGAATCTGGATGCAAGACATTTTAAGATGGTAGAAATATCACCTTGTCTGGTGCCATAAACAAGGCTGGGTCTCTTGAACCTGAGATGACTTGTAAATGGTGAAACTCCCTTCTGACCTGGCATGGCCCCAGTTGTTGGGCTGGTACTGGAAAGAAAATACAAGTTAAAGAAGAAGATGTGCGATACCCTTCCTTAGTGTAGTGACTGGGAACACTGATGTTGGAATGCTATCCTTGGGATGAGACCTTAAACAAGTCTTGCCTAATGGGCTGATAAAGATCTATGACACTGTCTGTGGAGGGGAACTTTTGTCTGTGGCAGTTAAATTTATGACTGGAATGCATTAGACTTAAAATTCAGGTTCTTGAATCAGTGGGGTGTAGTAGCTTCATTACTGTGCAGCAAAACCTGCTGAAAGTGATCACATATTGGCCATTGAATAGGTAGTCAGTCCTACAGATGTGATATTGAAGTTGTGCACCAGAGAAATGTCACTGGTACACTTGAGACTGTTTGGATTTGAATCGAAATTGGTCATCCATCACTATACGTACTGGCTGTTCTGTTTGCTTTTAATTCATGGCTTCCTTAATTTGAACATCTTGCAACATGTGAAATGATATCATGATCTAAATAAGGGGTTGGTAAAACTTCAGCCTTTTGGGCAAATCAAATGCCCTGCCTGCACATTAATTATTCAGGATAATTTTCCAGCAAAGTGTGCTGACCCCTGCAAACACAACAATACAATTAAAAAATGGGAATCTGGACTTTTTAGATTGATAGGATCATAAGCGTCTTAGCTTCTTGAACGGAGAAGCTTAGTGACTCAATGTGGAACCCACCCATATTTTTCTTTTGTAGTCTTGATGTACTTTTTGTAATGCTTTGCTATGCGCTGGAATCCCATGTTGGCTTGTTTTTGCATTTATTTTTATGGTCACCAAAATCTTAGTAGGCTTAGTAGATCTGCTGGGTTGAAAATGATATCCCCCTGTAGTCTCGGGTTTTCTAGAGTTTCCTGCGAGGTAGTTTTTGAGATTTGATCTACTGAGATTTTTAAAATGGCCTTTTGATTTACGTTACAGAAAACTTTGGGTTTACTGTTCATTCTGCAAAATGATTAACTTAAACCTTTCTTGTAGTAATGAGACTAATGCTGTGGTTATGGTTGTAATGTGGAGTCCTGTATGTCTAAATTGGACTTTATCACGTGTGGAAAGTTTTCTTGCAGCTGCACGGATTTCTTGGTCTAAGCAAAGTATGTACTAATCTTTATTTTAAACCTAGATTCTCCAGGTTGGGACGGTGGACGAAGCAATGGCTATGTGAACGGATACCATGATGGCAGGGATAACCGGATGAATGGTGACCGCAACAGCTTTGGGGGAAGAGGACCCTCCCGTGGTGACCGAGGTGGGCGTGGAGGGTATCGTGGAAACAGGAGCACTGGTTCCTTTAACCAGTCCCAGCCTAGCACAGGTGAAAAGCTCATTTTGATTGGTTGCTATTGCTCCCAATTCTAGATTCAGTTTTGCCCGAGGGCATATCTCATGATTTGAGGGAAAGCATTAGTCTTTCTATAGTCACATTTCCATTTGCTGAGCTACACCATTAACTTTAGTGAAGTGTGTTGGGTTGGGAGTGCATCACCTGGTGCCTTAGTCTGTTTTCATTGAATGTAGAGCTATAAGAACTGGTCTTTCAAAATGCATTAATATTTTGACGCAAATGTCTTTAGGCTTTGGTTATGATAAAGACAATAGTGGATGGAATTCCTCCAAAGACCAAAGGGACCCCTATACTAGCTTTGGAGGGCGCAATGATAGAGGAAAGTCGTCATTCTTTGGTGACCGTGGATCTGGATCAAGAGGGAGGTGAGTTAAAGAGTTTTGTAAAGACATCTTTCTAGGCTTAAGTGAGGTTATCCACCTTCACTTTTTTGGTGCATTAGTAATTCTGGATGGTGATGTATTCTGTGCCTTTTTATGGACAAGCATAACATGGTTTGGTAATGAGCCAAACCTGTTCCTAGCTTAAGTTGGTAAAAGCAAAAATACTTGCCAGGTTAAGAAACAGACCTGTGGAAGAGAACTTAAATGAGCGGTTTGGTTTTACAGGTATGACAGAGGGGGCTTTGGATCTCGGGAAGGTGGAAATAGCCGGTGGATCGAGGATTCTGCCCGGGATGAAGAGGATTGGTCAAAGCCAACATCACCAAATGACCGCCTTGAGCAGTGAGTGTTGCATGTTTTTCAGCTTAGATCTGGACGTAGCTTCAGTAAGATCATTAAGTTTCTGTTCCTAAACTTGCGCATCTGGCTCACTTTTCTTTTCCAGAGAACTGTTCTCTGGAAGCAACACTGGGATAAACTTTGAGAAATATGATGACATTCCTGTTGAGGCTACCGGTTCAAATTGTCCTCCACATATTGAGAGTGTAAGCTCTGTTTATTCCCTGAGGTTTAATTTGTTGTTTTAAATGTTATATTCTTAGTTAAACTTGATTACATTTGCATTTTTAGTTCAGCGACGTTGAAATGGGAGAGATCATCATGGGAAACATATCCCTGAGTCGTTACACTCGCCCCACTCCTGTTCAGAAACATGCTATTCCAATCATCAAGTCAAAGAGAGACCTGATGGCTTGTGCCCAGACAGGTAAGCACTTCAATTGATAAAGCCATGAAAGGCATTACTATTAATGAAAACCAAGAACAGTAAGCAACCAAATTTACATTTGCAACAATGCTTGTTTTAGTGTCATTGTGTTGGGTTGCACCTTTATTTGGGTCAGGAGCTGTTCAAAGAAGTTAAATGCCTGTATAGCACATTTTAGACAAGGCCCTAGCAGATTTAGCAGGGAGATTTTGTTTATAGTTCCTAGGAGGCTCTAGTATCCTGGAATTTTAAAACATTTAAATGCTTAATAATTAATGACTTGCATTTACTTGGTTCACCTAGTGTTGTGTGAAAGGTATTTGCTTTAATATTTGGGTTACTGAACAGATCTATTTTAAGTGGAATGAGTTCAGCCATGAGGTGATATACAGAAAGCAACTGGGTCTTCTTTTTGACATTTTAGATACTAAGTATATGATTACTTGACAATTTAATTATCCACTTTGATGAAATATTAAACTAAAACTAAATATTTGGAGTTCTGTATGACAACCTGAGACCCTCAACTTGCTTTATATCCCCAAAAGGAAAGTGACTAGCCTAAATAGTGAGCTGTAATTGTATGTGATCTTGATGTCAAAAAGAAGCAAACTTGTTTGCTTGTTCATTTAAAAAATCAACTATTTTGACAGTTATGTTCATGGTTAGGTATCTCTTCCTTTTCCCTCAATGAATAATGCCTATTTCAGTTTTTGCAGTAAGGGTCTGCGTGTTCCAGGCGTTCATTTAGTTTCCAGGGGAGCCAAGGGATGCCACGACAAACAGGGTGGACACATCCAAATGGGTCAGGATGGAGCAAACAGTGCATCCCAAAAAGAGACCTGGGTGGGCTACGTGCCTACTCATGCACACCAGTATACCCTAGTCCTGGAGGTTTATTTTCACTGAGCCCGTTGCTTTTGGCACCTTAATCTGCTCAGCAAGCTCTAGAAGTGTACTTGAAGGTGATAATGTCCTATAGGTCTGGCTAAATATTAAAGATGCCAGTCTTATGATGTTTGAACTTGGCCAGTTAGGAGCCAAATGAGCCTATTAGCTCATTAATTGCATTATCAAGTTTATTTGCTTATACTCTGATTGTAGCAAATGCAGACTTTAGTTTCACTTTATGGCGACTTCACTTTTCCAAAACCATACTAAATGAAACTGGAGTAATCCAGTGAGGTGCTGGTAAGAATTGGGGTAATTCTATCCATAAGTGTAGTGTAGTGAATGCTGCAGTGTTCAGTGTGCTTTTGATTGCAAATTCAATTTAATGTTAATATAACTGTATTGTCTTTGTAAACCTTGCTTAATGTAATGCTTTATTTCAACTTGATTTTCAGGCTCTGGGAAAACGGCTGCCTTTTTACTACCTGTACTGAGTCAGATATACACTGAAGGTCCAGGAGAGGCATTACAAGCTGTTAAGAGCAACCAGGTAGTACTGTACACCTTTGAGTTCAGAGCTATTGTGTAAACATAGGAGTGGCCCACAAAAAGGCAGATTGGTTCCAATAGTTCAGACATTTTGATTCTGTCCTTTGACATGAGCTGACTGGAGCTAGAAACTCAAGAGGTGGCCTACAGTTTGACAAGCAACTGATGAGGGAGGGAAGAACCAGTTTTGTAGAGCAAACCATCATTGATGGGCATCTGTGCCTACACTGTTGTCAGTGAGGTTCATCTTTATTTCCATTTCATGTTAAGCTTTTTCCATAGGCACTGTGGGATAAGTGCATGGTCTTTATCTTCTCCTTATGCTCAAATGAGTGCTAAAGTTATATTTCTAGTGCACCATTATATTGTTTCCAGGCATTTTATACACCCCAAATCTGAATTCCTGTTTGTAAATGTGCCTGTTTTCAGGAAAATGGGAAGTATGGACGCCGCAAGCAGTATCCAATTTCTTTGATTTTGGCCCCTACTAGAGAGCTGGCATTGCAGATCTATGATGAAGCCAGAAAGGTGAGTGCACTTACATTCAGAGCTTTGTCATGATTTTTTAGAACAGTTTGGTGAAACGCCTATTTGATCTGTACTCACAACTGCTTTCATTGCAGTTTTCGTATCGCTCCAAAGTTCGCCCATGTGTTGTGTATGGCGGTGCCGACATCGGGCAGCAGATTCGGGATCTGGAGCGAGGTTGTCATCTCCTGGTGGCTACACCTGGTCGCCTTGTGGATATGATGGAGAGAGGAAAGATTGGCCTGGATTACTGCAAGTGAGTAGACTGTCGAGAGGAAAACGCGTACATTGACCTCTGATCCTCTATGTACTTATCTAGAAACCCTTTTGCTTACCTTTCAGTTACTTGGTTTTGGATGAAGCTGACAGAATGCTTGACATGGGTTTTGAACCCCAGATCCGACGTATTGTTGAGCAAGACACCATGCCTCCAAAAGGACTCCGTCACACAATGATGTTCAGCGCTACCTTCCCTAAGGAAATTCAGGTACAATTTTAATCATGGCAGCAATCAATCTTTAAGGGATTCCTTTTGAGTTTACTAAAAAATAAGTGCATTTTCAGATCCTTGCTCGCGATTTCCTGGATGAGTACATTTTCTTGGCTGTGGGCCGTGTTGGATCCACCTCTGAGAACATTACTCAGAAGGTTGTCTGGGTGGAAGAAAGTGATAAGCGGTCCTTCCTGCTTGATCTTCTGAATGCAACAGGTAAAGATTATTCCCATGCTGGTGTTTTACTTATATCTGGGACAGTAGGTTTCACTTGTTTGATGTGTTAAGATGGAGGGTGTGATTGAGGAAAGTTAAGAATGGAGCTATGGTGCAAGTTAGACTTTGCAGCCTCTGGTTCAATGTTTGTTACGGAAATAAGTATTGTATAGTATTTGCCAGCGAGCTGGCTTTTGAAGACTAGTCTTGGCCTGCTTTTGATGGAAAATGGTCAAGTGCAGGCAGGCTGTCCAGCAAAGCTTAAATACTGTAGGAAGAATCTGCTCACATTTTATTTGTGGAGTTGAGGAGGGCTTCCAGATGGCCTCTTAACGCCTCTTTCCATTTGTAAGTGTTATAGATCTGTTTTTAGAAGCTAGAAATGCATTGACTGCTAGTTCTGATTTAAAATATGCAACATTTATCGCGAGATTTGGTTTTATTCAAAGTAATTCCGAGTGAGGTACAGGAAAACGCAAGTGAAAACTCCGAAAAGACTGGTAAGTAGGCCATTTGTTCTGCCTACGAAGTAGTAGAATGCCTCATTTAATTTTTTGAACTTGTTCAGTTCCATTATCCTTTTTTTGTTTGACAATACATCATTCATGGCTTATCAAGACAGTAACGCAGAGCAACTAAGGTTGAAGTAAATTCTATTCAATACATGAATAGAATATGAAGTACATGTATTTTCAGGTTGCCCGTTGATGTAATGCCGAGTTGCAATTTTATGCCACTGTATAGGCACTCCTCAGATCAATATTCCTTATTTATTGAAATGAAGAATAGACTATAAAGGTCATGGGAAAAAAAAAGCCGAACCGTGCCGGCCTTTTTTTTTCTACCTACCAGTGAAGTGACTTTTCTTAATTTGAGCAGCAGTCATCAACTGCTTTGTAATTTAGCCATGTCTGGTTTATTCAGACTTGGAAGTTCTCCAGTCTGGTTAGTGATCTTTCTACTATTTGTAAAACAAGTACCGTTCAGCAGCTGAGTGAAGTCCTTAGTGTCCCCCTTTTTTTACAAATTGGGGAGCATTATCACAAACTGTACCATTACAATCGATAAAAGTATTTAAAATACTTAGGCAATAAGTCAACCCAACACTTCTTCAGAATTAACAGAGGCAGCAATTGGAAAGTTACAAGGAAGTGTTAAAAACCAAGAACAGGTGGCAGATCTTTAAAGGGTTGCGCAAGTATGGGTCAAGCTGTGGCGAAGTTAAAATCTTAAATGTTTGTTTGGATAAAAATCTTGCATTCGTTAACTCTGAAATGGGGCAAGATGGGCCAAAAGTCCTAATCTTGTGTATCATTGTTGCTCAATTGGCAATCCTATTTTGAAATTCAGGGGTAAGTCACTTCATGTGGATATGAAATGTCTTTTTTTTTCCCCCCTCCCTCACTCGTGCACCTCTACACCATAGCTTTTGCTGTGATGGCCATTAAAGAAACTTAAAAGTACCCTGTGACAAACATTGAACCCCCATTAGGAGTAGTCATGCAGACAATTGTATGTCTTGGAACAATAGTCAAAGTTCCTTGTCTGAATGGCTCCTTGTACGGTTTCATTTGGTACTTCATCTTAATGGTTGTCAGTTATGGCAAAACTGCTTTTGTTCATGTATCATACATCTAGCACCCAGTTCTGTGCAAGCGGTTTTTCCCTTGTGAAAATGTAGATCTCAATAAGCATTAGTTTTAAAAAATTATAGTGCTTATTGAGACATACAAATAGCTACTTATGACCACCGCTCCTCCCTTGATTGTATAAATATAAGAAACTTGTTCAGTGATTATGGTTTGCTTACAGGCAAAGATTCTTTGACCCTGGTGTTTGTGGAAACTAAGAAGGGTGCAGATGCACTGGAGGACTTCCTGTACCGTGAAGGGTATGCCTGCACCAGCATCCATGGGGACCGCTCACAGCGAGACCGAGAGGAAGCGCTGCATCAGTTTCGTTCAGGAAGATGCCCCATCTTGGTTGCCACTGCTGTAAGTGTAGTTATTTTCTCTCCCAATATTGACCTTCTTTTCCCAAGCATCAAGACTAACCTTTTCTGTTTTTCAGGTGGCTGCTCGAGGTTTGGACATTTCCAATGTGAAACACGTCATCAACTTTGACCTCCCTAGTGACATTGAGGAATATGTTCACCGCATTGGCCGTACTGGCCGTGTTGGAAACCTGGGTGAGTTTATAGTTAAATTGGCAGTGTGTTCCATGTTGCTGCCTAGATTGATTAGGATGGTCCCCTTCATTGTAGATGGAATCCATTCTGCCATGAAACATTCCCAGGACCTTAATTGCCTGTAAGAGACTGATTAGGGAACACTTTCCCTAATGTGGGTGCATGCTGGCAATAATGTGATTATACGAGATACCAGCGTATGCCAGATCTAATCACATGCACAGGGTAAAAAGTTGAGGAATCAATGCACAAGATACTGGCATTTCTTATGCATTGGCTTTAGTCCAACTTTCTTATGCAACAGAGCTCTGGTACTACATTTTCAGTTGTTGGAGAGATTGATATAAATATTGCAGATACAATGAGTGACGAGGGTTAAGCATTCTGCTGTGATGCAAAAGAACAGGAAAGCTATTTCTCTGGAACAAAACTGTTATAAAACTATGTTCTGTAGTGGAAAAATACTGTCTTGCAAAAATGTTAGATCTCATCACTTACTGTAAATACCGATACGTGTTGTCTTTTAAAAAAACTCTTCGGTTTTAAATTGCAAACATACATTCAAGCTAATATGACCAGTTACTATACTTTGCAAGTCTGACCCATATACCCCTTAATTCCCATTGAACCAGTGCTTGCTATAATGTGGTTTACCACTATTGTGTTAGAGCAGACTTGGCTATTGGATTTTGTGACTGTAGCAGGAAGCCTGAATTGTGCTCATTGCATTTAATTCCTTTTAGGCCTGGCAACCTCATTCTTCAATGAGAAGAACAGCAACATAACCAAGGACCTCCTTGATATATTGGTAGAAGCCAAACAGGAGGTTCCATCCTGGCTGGAGAGCTTGGCTTATGAGCAACAGCACAAGAGCAGCAGCCGTGGTCGGTCTAAGAGGTATTGTTTTCCTCTGTTCCTGTGTTCCTTGTTTCTGACTGCTAATCGAACAGTTCTTGTAATCTGAAGCATGTCAGATTGCAACTGCTGGTGCTTTGCATCACAGCTTTCAGCTTTATAAAGCTTTTTGGACGGCCAAAGCACATGGGGCGCACTAGAATGACATCGATCATGTGCTTTCTCTTAAAGGTTTTCTGGAGGCTTTGGTGCCAGAGATTACCGTCAGAGTAGCAGCAGCAGCAGCAGTTTTGGCAGCCGTGGAAGCCGTAACACTGGAGGTCATGGTGGGAGCAGAGGATTCGGTAGTGGTAAGGGTTGGTTTTTTTCTCTCCTGATTGGGGGGGGAGAACTTTCCTGTTTGCTAAACCTTTGCCTGAACTGCATTGCCTCATAAGTGTCCATAACTCTTATGTAGAAAACAAGACTTTTCAGTTGATGTAATGTTAATCTACCATCTATGTCCCATTCAACAGTTCTTTCTGTTTTTGTTTCTTTTGGCTTTATCTTATCACTTTCTCTTGTTCAGGTGGCTTTGGAAACTTCTACAACAGCGATGGTTATGGTGGAAATTACTCCCAAGTTGATTGGTGGGGCAACTAAATCGAAGACCTGTTAGCAGTGGAAGTCACCATGCCAAACTAGCTGAATGGAAACCACATGTAACTTAGCCAGACTATACCTTGTGTAGCTTCAAGAACTCGCAGTACATTACCAGCTGTGATTCTCTGAGAACATTTTAAAGGGAGCTTAAAGCATTTGAAGATGGCCTGCAAGAGACCCAGAGCATCACACCTTAGATGAAGAGACACAACATGGCTGCTGATATCAATGCCTCTAGAATCTTGGACTCTATAGTTTTCAACTGCACTTCATTTCTTTGTAAACTGAGGATCATTTGTTTGTTAATGTACTGTGCCTTTAACTTTAGACAGGATTTTTTTTTATTTTTAATGTCATACTGGCTGAATTTAGCCATGATCTCAGTTGTTTTTGTAAGGCATAAAAGCGTGTACTAAATCAAACCTTGGCAAATCCTGGGATGATATGACTTGAGTGAGTCATTATTCCATTTGAACTTCAAATTGTCACAGGGACATCAGGTTATCAAGTAGCCTGCATTTTTAAAGGCTTGAGTACAAGCAGCTTGTAAAACCATCACAGAAGCGTTTGATTAAAGGTATTGATTCCTTGTGTGGCAACAATAATGTATCTGAAGAGTTCTGATTTATTTTGCTCACTCTATCCTGGATAGGTACCTACTAGGGATAATGGTAGTCTTCAAAAAGCCATTCCAGGTGTGATCTTAATATTCTTACGAGTAAACCAGTGTTGTAATGCGCTGGATTCTAGGCAGAACACATGCTGGGATTTGTTACTCCACTTCTTGCAATTGACTTGACAGTGTTAAGGCAGCTAGTTAAGTACCACAAGCTAGCCATTAAGCAGGGCGGTATTTTTTTTTTGTTTTTCCCTTTAAACCGTTTTAAGGGGCAATTGAAAAACTTGATTCGTTTTTTAATGTTTATAAACTTTACATATGGTTGATCTTAAAGTGACAAATGCCTGCCGTGTTGAAACTGAAGTTGGATGGCTATATAAGGACCACAACACCGAAGCAGCCCTGCAGCGCGTCATGGCTGGCTCGGTTTTATACGCATGCTAGTGTTGGTGTTTTTTGGTCAAGGGGATAAAATGAATTCTGCAGCAGGCTTTATTTTATTACAAACGTATATACATCTTCTCTTTTCAAGCTGCGTTAAAATTCCGAAAGACCATCCTCGGCTTTAATATAGATATGGTTCCTTTAACAACGAAGGCTTTGCTAGGGATCATAGAGGTCAGGGATGTACCAAGAACTGCACAAGGTGTTGCCTGTGGCATTCAGAGTGCGGTTTGGTGCGCCACAGTTTTAGTTGCATAGGTTTCCATTACATATACTGGCTGTGTATTCCACTAGATCTGGCCAAAGACGGGGTTTTTTCCCTCCTGATGGTACATGAATGCTGTCAACTCCTTTTGGAGTTAATCTGCCTTGATGTGTATTTAAAATCATTGGCCAGGGAGCCGGCATTAGCTTCTTTTCGTTAAAGGCGGTATGGGGGAGGGGAGACCATGGCATTTAACTTAAGTGCAATAGATTTATTCTCAAGTGTGTTGTGCCTTGAAAAATTATGATTTGAAGCGGATGCACTGACAGTATTGAGGTAACTTAAGATGAATGGTGCTATTTCAGTTAGGTTTAGGCCCTTGTATGTCATGCCCATCAGGTTTTACAAAAAATTTTATTGCACATCTAGAGTTTTATATAAATGTCTTGTGTGCGTGTCCTTAAGCTTCCAAATAATGTGTGTGGATTGTGAAACGCAGCTTGTTTACAAAAGGGGAAGGGGGTTGATACTTAACCAGGATTTATTTGGGACCAGGGGGATTAGCAGTTGGGAATTTAGCTATTTGCACACAGATTTCTAGATTCTACTTTTTTGCTGCTAGTTTTGTGTAATTTATTAAGCATTTTTTGAAAAATATTTATTTTTATAAGCCTAAAAGTGATTCTTTGAAAGTTTCAAGAAACTTGACCAAAAGACAGTACAAAAACACTGGCACTTGAATGTTGAATGTCACCCGTATGCGTGAAATTTATATATTTCGGGGTAGTGTGAGCTTTTTAATGTTGAAGTCATATTGGACTCAGTCGATCCACACCTGTTACTGGCCTTGTGGCCAAACGTTTCTATCGAAGTCTAAATTGGCTATCAAAATTTGAAAAACCATGCCAAGGTTTGGATAAAAGTTATCAAAATAATAGAAACACATTTCCTAAATGTTATCTGCTCAGAGTGTCCAGATTCTCCAATTGTGTGTTTGAGTTTTTTTTTTTTTCCAGTGAACGTCTGGCACATGGCAATCTTTAAACATGTGGTTATTCTCTATTGTTGCATTTGCGTATTTGGTGTTTCAGGTGTTCTGTAGAATATTCAGCAAGTTTTAGCTGCAGCAATAAGTCTTACATAAGGTTGCGGAGTTCAACAGAGGGGCAAAGAGATTGCTGGTGACTTTTGATGGGAGGGGGAAGCTTTCCAACTTGCTAAATGTTTGTAATGGAACACCTGGGCTCAGACTTAGTATTTGCTTTATGTACTAGTTTAGGAGCTATGCACTGCATGAGATGACTCAGCCGTGCGTTTGTTGTATGATTTTATCAAAAATAAAAGTTTGAAATGCATTTTTTCAGTTATTTTCAATTTTCGAGATTTGTTTTGTTCTGCCTGTTCAAAATGAAATCTTCCATCACTTAACTCTAGCTTGAGCCGGGTGAATTTGCTTTTCTAGATGAGTATAGAAATCCTGTTATCAAAGTTCCTGTCAGATAAACTAGGGGTAACATGTTCCAAGTAGCTCTTCATGTGGGAGGTGGCTGGAACGAACCGCTGACTTATTTGGTGCCGGCCCATTGTACATGGCAGTTCTAAAATGCAAAAATATGCAAATGAGGAGGCCATTTGAGCCAATTGATTTAGTGGGGTGGGTTCAGTTTATCCAGGAGATATCAACAGTAAAGCCAGGTATTGACTTCAGCAATGTGGCTGTGTAGTTTGTTCCATACTCCCACCACTGTTTGTGGAGTGTCCTGTTTGGATTTAAATACACTTAAATGATTTGCATTTGTGTCCTGTAATCTTTCACTGGTGCTGAATTAGTCCACTGGGCTGACTGTCAATGTCTTGAGGATTTTGAATGCTTGTATCGGGTCCCCTGGTAGTCTTCACTGTTCAAGCTTAATGATATCCTGTTGCAGTAAGACATTTCCTAAGTCAGCAATGTAGGTTTGCTCTTTACTGGACTGATTTCAGAGTAGCTATTTTCTATGATGACCAAAATTGCACGCTATATGCTAGATGAGGCATGATGGGTGTTCATTTCAATGGCACATCCCTTGATTACAATTCTGTTTTCAAATTGATACCTTTTTCCTATATATATCCTTGAGTGTGGAACTACAATTAAAAGGGCAAAGTAAAATTTTATACCAGCATAAGCTCCTACATTTTTCAGAACTGGCCTTTTCTAGTGTGGTTGCCTGTTTATAGATCACCTGTATGCAATGTCCTCTACTTCTGCTTACATCTGCAAAGTGTTTTCCTGTCAGCCTTTTAATTTTAATTTGCTGCTTCTGCAGGGTTTATCTGTAAGCTAATTTACTAACTATACGGTAATGTGGATCAGTTTACCTAGTACAGATACTCATTAGGGGTTTTCAGTCCTTATCCATCCCCAAAGTCTGTTTTAATAACCAATTCTATTAATAGACATGGACAAATCAAGGTTGATCAGTAGCCAACTCGCTTCAGCAAAAGCACGTACAAGTAGAGGTACACATCAGTCTAGGCTTATCAGTGCAGTTTCAAACACTGCATTTTGAGAATTCCTCAAAAGTTTGATCAAAAGCCTGTTCTACCAGTTAAATTGTAAGAGTACACTTACATTATCAGATGAAGCCTGTAAATGGGGGTATCTAGGGTGGTGTCAGGCTTAAAAACTAGTCTTAACCCTGTATTTACAAAACAATTGTAGTTTTGCACTCCACAATTGATATTGATGTGTGAGGAAGGGGCTTTAAGATGTGGAATAAGTTCTCAATAGTCCCTGCAGAGCTTGTTGTCAGCAGATCAGAATAGCATGTTGCCTGGGCACTGGGGTCAACATATGGTTGATCTTAAAGTGACAAATGCCTGCCGTGTTGAAACTGAAGTTGGATGGCTATATAAGGACCACAACACCGAAGCAGCCGTGCAGCGCGCCATGGCTGGCTCACTTTTATACAGGTTCACGTTTGTATACAGGTATATGGTATAATGAAATGCTATTTAGCTAGCTCTCAGATGATAATAGTACAAAGAATAATAAAACAATACAACTGTATAACAAAGACCGAGACAATGGGCAGTGTGCAAAACGACAAAGTAACAGGTAACGTGCAAAAACATGCATCAACAGAATGAAATAAAGGGATAGAAATCATAGGGAGTGAGCTGTTGACATGTAAGGTAGAGGTAGGTTTTCAATGTGTTTGAGTTTTTGGTAAGAAAGAAGGCACTGTGAGGTTCAGATTGTAGGCGAGAGAGGCTGGGAGTTTAGTTTGATAGTGTGGGGGTCAAAACCGTCTCCGAGTCTGGTAGTCTGGGCCCGAATGCTCCGGTACCGTTTTAAAGGTGGTAGTGGATTATACAGTCTGTAGCTGCGGAGTGTGGGGTCTTTGATGCTTAGAGCATGCTAGTGTTGGTGTTTTTTGGTCAAGGGGATAAAATGAATTCTGCAGCTTTTTTATTCCAAACGTATATACATCTTCTCTTTTCAAGCTGCGTTAAAATTCCGAAAGACCATCCTCGGCTTTAATATAGATATGGTTCCTTTAACAACGAAGGCTTTGCTAGGGATCATAGAGGTCAGGGATGTACCAAGAACTGCACAAGGTGTTGCCTGTGGCATTCAGAGTACCTGGGCACTGGAATCAATGGTGCAAGCGGAGGTGAATTGTCATGATCAATTCCTGATTGGGTGGGTATGTAACATTTGAAAGAAAATTAATTGACACTACAGACAAGCATCTTCTGTACTTGTGTACATCCCTTTGAACCCAGTTCTGGAAAGGCGAAATGTATTTCATGTGGAGAAAAACCGTATGAAGTACTGTTCCTACAAAGGATCATGGTTACTGAAAGATAACAATCGGTCAGCTGTACTGGTGGTTTCTTCAGAGGTGGGAATCTCTGGTGATCCCGGTAATTGAGTTAAGCCTGTTCTGATTCACCCTAACTTGAAATGAGACCTTGACCTGGCAGTGAAGGAGTTTCGTGATGTTTGGATGGTGTACTGGGCTTCAGAACTCTTGTTTAGGTTGGCTGCCGCTGTAGATGAGCAATGCTGTTTTGGGAGGGTTTAGTAAGCCTGGGTTAACATGGCATTCTGAAGCAATCACAGGTGAGATAGGCCTGTCACATACCCATGCTGCATGGTCCTCCTAGAGAGGTGGACTGCTTTTATATTCACTGCCTTCACAGCTCTTTTATACGATTAGTAACGCAAGGTATTGAAAAGGAGTTGTGGTACAGTCTAACTAGTAGTGTTTTTTTTTCCAGAGTTTGTACTGAGCCTTAAAAAAACACTATCTAGATTTTTTTTTAGTTAAGAAATATTAATGTCCTAGCGATTTATCTGGCTGTCGAATGGTCCTGGATCAAATAAAGGAGATTGTCGCAAGGGTAATCTGTGTGTTATAGGCCACAGCCTCACAGACTTTCAGGTTAGCTTTGATCTGGGCCACCCGCCTTTCCTCCCAATGCCTGTAATCCTTCATCTGATGTGGAGGATTTTTTAATCCATTAAGCGACAGCGAGAGAAAATGCATAGCCATACATATGCACATCCTAATCCATAGAAGGGAGAGCTCTGCTCGACCAGATCTGCACTTGAAAACAAGGAAGACAAATGGGCTGGTGTGGCAGGTAAGTCGAGAAGCAATTTTATTTTGTTTTCCTGTCTTGAGCTGGAAGGGGGATTGTCGATTTTTAAGCACGTACAGTCCTTTTCAAGCAATGGTGCTGTTTGAGCAGCGGCGCGTTCCACACGGTCTTTTAATGGTGCGTTTTTCAAAGGGTACTTTTACTTTCAGTGCCGTACTCTTTTACAATTGGATAGTCAAAAGGGGGAAGTTTGCTATTTTTAGTTGGGCTGCTTACTAATTTTGATTCCAACAATCAAGGCTTAAAAAAAAAGAACTTGACTGCCAAGGCATGAAAGATGCATTATTGCAAATCATTTCAGTACTTATACTGAGTGTCCTTTGCAGACACACAGCACATTAAAAGGACAGCACTGGCAAATAATGGAATGGAATGAACTACGATGATTTTGCACAACTGGTTTTTGCTGGACAGACATCAAAAACTATTCATTTGCATCCATCAGCTCTAATTCTGTTGCTGGTTGGAATTAATTCTGTTGGCAAATTAATTCTAAAATGCTTAATATGTTATTATATATAAATATAAAATGAATAATAATATTTAGATTGTGTGTTTGGAAATTAAAGGCAGTAAAATGTCAAGGAATCGTATACATAAAGTGAAAGAACACAGACAAGTTAATATTCAGCTTTTTGTATTTGTTGTCATTATATTCCTGTAATTTGGGATTTTATAGTATAGGAGTGATGCAAGGATATTATTCTTAAGGATATTATTCTTAAGATACATTTTTGTTTTATTTTTAAAATGTTTAAACATCTTTAAATGTAGATGTTTTTGCATTTTAAACAGCTCCATAAAACAAAAAACCCTTTGCTGTTGATGACATGTCTACTGTGCCTCCCTTGAAGTCTGTAAGGTCCTTCTAACATGTTTTGATGTGAGACAACACAAGTGTTTATTTTGTATGGCGAAGCTGACCATTTTAACTTGCAGGCGTGAAAAAAAGATGTATTTTTTAAAATTCCAGGTCTCTGAACGATCAGTCTCCACCCTCTGATCCTGACATGCTACAGGAGGAAAAAAGCAGAGATGATTTTTCTGATCTTAAATGGTGAGTCCTGTTTTGTCTCGCCATGAAAGTGACCTCTAATGACAAGAGAAGGGAGGAATAGTGAATTAAAGAGTCCTGCACTGTGGTGTTTTCTGACACTGACAAGCACCTGTCTGGGCACAATGAGTCAATCCAGCAGACTGCTGTTTGATGGAATTGGGACGGCACGACACAACAAGGTTATTCCAGTCCCTGTTAGGAACAATAGCCGTTACAAAACTGGGTAACTGGAGCAAGGCTGGACAGGTGAACTAGAACTACATAATGCCCAATGACAACAGGCTTGGGGTGGAGCCTTCAGGACAGCAGTTTTTCACATGGAGGGCTCACAGCTTTGGCCTCTGTAGTCTGTAGAATCTGGCTCAAAATCATTCAATAATCATTCTTGTACAGATTCAATTACAGAGACCAGGTAGATTAAAGACGTCGATTGACAGGCATTCCTTGTTTCTTGTGGTACAGCAAGTTGACCTGATGTGTGTGTACGTAAATGCTAGGATGAACTAAGGAGTGCCGTCTGCTTTCTGTGCAATTTCCAGTCGTTGATACTTTTTTTTGCAGGATGTTAATAAGAGCCCAAAATTTAGGCTTATGCTCATGCTGTGCTGTGCCGAAAAAATATTTATACATGCATAGAAATTGTGGCCAATGGGGTAACAGATTTTTGACGATAATTTTTTTTACAGAATCAAACCTGATTACATAAATCGTGAAAAAAATCTTTACATGAAGGGGTTTTAAAACGGGTGTATTTTTCACTTAATGGAGATCATCACCACCACATTTAAATTGTAGATTGCTCTACAAATGTATCATACTCAAGAGGATAATCTAGGTTATTTTACAGCGTGAAATTAAATGTTTCCTTAGTAACACAACCTCCTTTTGTTATGCTAATTGTTATTGACAATTTTCTAAACGTATTGTGTTGACACTTATGGCAAATACAGTGGTGTTAGACCATCTATTTTCAAACCATTTCTTCCAATTCAGGGCCATGGGGAAGTCAGAGGCTATCCCAGCAAGCAACAGGCACTAAGTAGGTAACCAGTCTATCACAGGGAAGACACAGACGTGCACACGACCACCTAGGTCCAGTTTTCCCAAAGTACGTGCCAAATCCAATCCAGTTAATTTCCAAATGCTAAAGAGCTCAGGACCCTATTGATGACAGATGGCTAGAAGCCAAAGTGGTGAAGAAAAACGTGATTGAAGTGATTGAAGTTTCAGTGCAAGCTAAAGGATGTCAGTTACTCAAGAATGATCACAGCCTTTAAAACTTCTACCAGATAATGCTTTCCCCTAATGGCTTTAATGTTTTAATAAGCTGATTATATAGCAGCATTGATCAGTATATTTTTTGACTGTGGCAATAAACAAGGAAAAAGTGGTGTTAGTGTTTGCTATATATAAAAGAACCATGGAGGATGTGATCCATGCTGGACCAGTGTGAGAGAGACCCACCTGATACATTTGGGCCAATGCTGATTAATTCTTCAGGCACAGATCCTTTAAGGAATGCATATTTATAAAAAAATAATATACACCTTCAAAGCTTGCTTTAGAGATGGTTAGTTCAATTCTGCTTACAATTTTATAAAATGACATAATGGTAATATTCACCTAATCTCTAGTCTTTAGTTTTTTTTATTGATTCAGGACTGTAACTTTGGAATCAAACTGATATTTTGTTTTACAAAAAGTTCCGGATTTTTTCATTCAAATCAAAATTATCACGCAACCTTGTGGAGACAGACCATTCATCAATTCTGTAGAAATGTGATTTTGACATCACAATAGTTGTTTTTGCTTTACTGTACCATACTTATTAGTCTTCAGCCTTTAATCTAAAAAAGCTTATCGGTATGGAGCTATATAACTGGCAAAGTGATTGCTTATTCATACCTGCAAGTAACAGTCAGACATTCTGTTACATTACTGTTATCAAACTGAATTTAAGCAGGAGTGCTCTGTTGTCGTTATCAGAGATAGCTTTTATGTCTGGTTATTTTACTTTGTCAGAGCACACTTTTGGAAGTTTTTTCTTTTAAAATAAAATTATGCCTCTGAGTCATTGCAACCTGAATGTTTTAGAAGTCCAACGGCATCCCAGCCACATTGAAAATTTTAGGGACAAGGTAGTAATCCTTCCTAAAAAGATTTCAGTACATACAGAGCACAGATATTTTCCATTTGAGAACAAAGAGTCTAGACATAATATGGTTTTAATAAATTGCCAAGAATAAAATCGCAGTGTTGTACAGAATGTTAATACACAGAATGGATATGCAGGTTCTGTGGGGCTGCTGCATACAATAACTCTTATTTACAGTGTATTGGAGGGGTTGTTATAATACATTTTAATATTAAAGTCCTAGGGTCACCTGGGAAAAGAGCACCCTCTGAGTGCAGGCTAAGCTGTACAATCGCAGGTTCGACCAGGGTGATGTTACTAGCTGACTGTGACTGGGATTCCCCTAACAGCAGTACAGAGTTGTAGGGTAGGATAAGTAGGCCTGGGCTCTTTCTCGCCATAACACAGCCTGACACACCTACTGTCTATTGCACACTTGGGCAACACGTAGGAGATGTGCCTCTCTGACAGTCAACACTAAACTTCCAGTATGGCAAGAGTCATGTGCTGATGGAGGGTGTTGTGGGAGGAGGAGTCTGCCTACTCTTCCTCATGCTACACTCTTCAGTGAATGTGGGGATTGTAGCAGCAGGCCAAGGTGTGGAAAAACACTCAATTGGCTGTTTTGTGGACAACAAAAATAATTGAATAATTTGTCAAATTATTGAGGTTTGTGATGCTGTACACCTGTAGCCAAATACTTGCAGGAAACTGAAGGAAATTAAAAATAGGAATTCAAAATTCAGCCATCTTGACTTTATGGATGTGCGCTTAAGACATAACACATCTGGCTGAATTTTTCTTTGGTTGCAGCAGAGACGTCAAGTCTGCTTAAGGATTGTCAGGCCCCGTTGTGCTCTGTTTAAAGGACAAGAAGATGAGGATGTCTCAGAGATCTCTCATTGGCATAATGGATTACAAAAGGCTTTCACAAAACTAGGTTTCTGTTCCAAAACAACCACAGATGTTTTGTACTTTTTAATGGAATGCTATAAGTTCTTTGGCTCAGTTCCAGCCTTTGTCTAACGGGACATATCTGAAACTGTTAGAGACCAGCCAAAAGCTGTTGATAGTTGTCTCATAAAAATGTTCTTCTTCCTGTTGGAATTCTAAATGTTCCTATTGTGATCATACTCTTTTGTCTGGGCCAGTTAGTAAAATTCTCAAGCAATTCATTTTTCTTAAGCACATAACCTGGAGCATATGAAATTCAGATAGAGAGATTCTTGTAGTAACATGAAAGGTTATTTTTTTAATCCATCCATCCAATTCAGGGTCAGGAGGGAGCAAGAATCTATCCCAGGAAGCAATGGGGGCACCCTGGATGGGAGTGCAGTCCACTGCAGAGGACACAGACTGACGCAGACACGCACTCACTTACACCTAGGGACAATTTTCCTAGAAGCCCATTAACCTATAAATATGTTTTTGGACTGTGAGAAGAAATCTGAAGCACCCAGAGGAAGCCGACACGAGCACAGGGAGAACATGTGAACTCCACACAGATACTTATCTAATTTAAAAATAACAAGCAGCACTGTGGTACGGAGGGTGGCAGTGCTGTCTCAAGGCGCTGGGACCCTGGGTACAAATCTTGACCTGTGGTGTTATCTGTGTTTTAGAACGAACATTTATGGAATCAATGGCCCATATTTCACAGGCTCGTGTTTTCTTTCCTTCCTTTCCCTTATGTTCAATGTCCACCCCTATCCTTTGCTGCAGTGTCTTTCCTCCTGATCTCCCCTGTCCTTGCCCCCTGGGGGTGTGCCCGGTCCTGTCCTGCCCGCTGCACCTGCACCCAGGAGAAGAGCTGTGCTGTGCTGTGTGACCGTGCCGGCCTCCCCGACCTGCCCCAGCAGTTCCCCTGTGAGGCCTCCTCCATCAACCTGGCCAAGAACAGCATCAAGTTCCTCTCGGAGAGGGCCTTCGGCACCTTGCCCGCGCTGCGCTCCCTGCTGCTCGACCACAACAACATTTCTTTCATCACGCCCGGGGCCTTCAAGGGGCTGCCCAACCTGCTGGAGCTCAAGATGGCCCATAACGAGTACATCCGCTACCTGCACACTCGCACCTTCACCTCCCTGAGGCGCCTGACCCGACTGGACCTCTCCGACTGCAACCTCTTCAGCTTGCCCGACCGCATCTTCCTGGAGCAGATTGCCTTGCAGGAGCTCTTCTGCTTCCAGAACAATTTCCGCCGCATCCCGGGAGCCATCCGAGGCATGGAGAACCTGACTCACGTCTACCTGGAGCGCAACAAGATTGAGGCTGTGGCCTACAATTCTCTATTGGGTTTGACCAACCTCAAGTACCTGAACCTGCAAGAGAACCGGATCAATGTCATCCACGACCAGGCCTTTCAGGACTGCCGGCGTCTGGAAAACTTCTACCTAAACGATAATCTCCTGTCTGACCTGCCCCGGGAGTCGTTCAAGGGTTTGCGACGCCTGAAGATGCTCAATCTGGGAGGAAACCTCCTCACCAATGTCTCCAAGAGCTGGTTCAGCGACCTGATGGAGCTGGAGTTTCTCTACCTGGACCGGAACCGGATTTCCTTCATCCAGGAAGGGGCCTTCGAGAACCTCACCAGTCTCATCTCCCTTCACCTGAACAGCAACAACCTGACGGCTCTGCCTTTCTCAGTCTTCCAGCCCATCTACTTCCTTGGCCGGCTCTACCTCTTCCGGAATCCTTGGGAGTGCGACTGCGGCCTGGAATGGCTCAAGGTATGGATGGAGAACTACAAGCTGGTCAGGGACATCCCCTGCGCCTCTCCCTCCTCGGTGGCTGGCCTGGACCTCAGTGAGGTGGTCTATTCCAGATCCTCCGGTGGGGCATGCCTCGACCCAGCAGAGCTCAACCTGACTTTCACTGGCCCACTGCCCACCGAGGGCTTGCGCTACACCACAGAAAACAAGTTCAACAGCCTCATCTCTAGGCTCATGCAGCAGGAACTCTGGGAAGGACCTCTCAACTCTACAGAGATAGTTAAAAATACCTCCCTCTTGCAGGAAGTAGGCAGTCAGGTGTCTTCTGGAGCGACCTTTTTCCCCGCTTATGACATCTGGCAGCTTATTCCTGTCTGTCTATCCTATATACAACTTGAAGCAATAGTTTCACCTCCCCGCTGAGCGATATCTCGCATTTCTTAGGGTTGCATTTGGGGCACAAGGTCAGTACAAACAATTGTAAGCTTTCCTTTGTGCAATTTTTCCTCACCTCGGTTAAGCCTCTTTTGTACTCCCAAGAAAAGCCTCCTCCTTATACTGCTTATGGAAGTTCTTTTTTTCTTCAATATTTTTTCTTCTTACAGATGGAAATTATTCACTCAAAATATTTTCCGGTGTATCCGGGCAGGAGGTGGTGGCAACATCATTCACTAAACGGCTCCACCACTGCAGGTGGAGAACAGACTTTTTGCTCTCTTTCTACTCCAAAAAGAGTTGCAGAGCTGCAATGACTACACTGACATTGTGCATGTGGTACTTGCTTGTTTCAAAAAGGAATGGAAACGATGTGAGTACACTTTGAAGTCAAACTGTGATGACAGGGGAAAAGTGGATTCAAATCCAGCTTCTTGCACAACAAGGTTTTCTTAAATATTACGAAGGCTTGTTTGTGTGCTCCTGTAGATCCAGAGCAGATGGCATAGCTTGCTCATGGTGTCTTCCTGCTTTATTCATTAAACTCAATGACTTTGGATATTAAAGCTATTCAGAAATGCATTAATCTTCTTAAAATGTATGGCTTATCTGCATTACACAAGACCACTTAACCAAATGGGGTGGGTTTAGCATTGTGTTTCACTTCGTTATGGAAATACATAGATGAGGCAACTGAAGGCAAAGGAAAGTTTAGCAGAGTTCATAAAGGAATTTTGGGGGCCAACTTCTGACTCTTGCTTCTTTTAAGTGCTGGGATTGCTCTCGCAAAAGTAACTTTATCGAAAAAGGAATATTTGTGAGATAATTCCAGTGATGTGCTTTCTGGCAGTTTAACCATATTAATGATGCATTTTTACAAACTGACCAAGAAAGATTGTTGTAAACAGTATTTTTTAATCTAGATTGATCGTAGATGTCTTTCTGTCACATATATACGTAGGCAAATGTTAGTGTGTCGTATGGTCAGAGAAACGTTTATTTAAATCTGGTGTGCCATTCATTGTCTTAAAATGTATAAGAATTGGTGGCTAAAACATCCATTTCATTACACTCATTATAGATTTAACAGAAAATGAAGCACGTGAACTGTATAGCTTGGTACATTTTTACTGCTTTTTGTACAAAAAGGTGTCTAGTTATGAATCTAAGAGGACTTTGTCTATAGATTTATCTGATGTGAATCCATAAGCCTGACATCTTCCATGGCTGAACGATTTCCTAACATCAATAAACTTCTGGAAACCAAATGCGTCTGGAGGGCCCGACCTGCCAGTTTTTGCCCACTCTCCTCATATTGTTCTGGACAACCATGTGGGGTTTACACTTTTTTTTTTCCTGCAATAAACGTCTTTGTCGTTTGTCTGTGTTGGAGCGTATGAGCTATGTGTGTTGGAATGTACACTCTTGAGTCACCCTTCTGCTTCTCAAGACATGAATCAGGGGATTATTAGCTCCTATTCAAGTCCTAATTTCTGACAAAGTAATCATATTAAAAATATCAACTTGTCAAAAATATCAACTAGTAATTTAGATGTTTTTTACATGTGCTTTCTTATCATGTAAAATCATCAAATATGCACATACTGTATTCTTAGATGCATACACCTCTGCTGCAAGAGCAGCATGAAATGATTAGCTAGTTCAAATTTGCATGCAGTTTGGGGCTCAAAGAGATGATTTCTGTAAAATAAGTAGTCCAAGCAGTTTTGCTGATCACAACCACAATGACAGTACCCTTCACTTATATTAAGAATGCCTCCTCTGTAATGTTAAACACTGGCTCTTGTCTTAAGATTTCCTACCTAAAGATGATTGCAGCTCTCGTCTGTCCCCTGTTGACCTCTTTACCATGCTAACGAAGTCAGCTGTGGATTGTTCAAGCCCCTGAGGTGGAGTAATTACACTGGGAGCATGCTAAGTGGAAATTTCCACAGTGACAGATCCCACTAGTGGGGGCTCACAGCATGCCTGGTCACTGGGGGGTGTACTGCTTATCCCTGCAGGACAAAACTACCAACGGAGCTGCAGTCAGCCGGTCATGTTACTCATGGCAATGGAGTCCTCAGTCCCGGCCATACATAAACCAGATTGCACTGGAGAGGTTGAGTGATCAGGTGAAGTATTGTTACAGGCTCCCTGTACATGCCACTACTTTTACTTCAGCAAAAAAAAAATGAAATAAGCACTGTAAAGCAGTGGATGAATGACAGAACAAACATGAGTTTACAAAATTATATCATTCTGCTCACTGGGGTTGCATGTCTGGGAGTGCAGCTTTGATTTTGCAGTTAAGATTAGCACAATCCTTCATCGTGGCTGTTGAATAATCGTACTGCGTACAGCCGATGACAGTGCTCACTTGCCGAAACGAGCGATGTTAGATTAAATAGCAATAATTATTCGACTGGCTCCGATGTGGCCAGACTTCAAGGGTTCTAATAGACGTGTATCCAAAAGCTCATTAGACAACTGATAGTTCGGATAATTGTTGAAATATTAAATAAAGGCTAATTTCTTAAAGTATACATAAATCCATGGCTGAAAATGTTTATTCTAGAATCATAGACTACGTCGTGACTGAGTCGTGTAGACATGGTCTAAAAGCGGGCAGGTCTCTTCTTCGTGAGGTAAGCATCATATTTCTGTTTGTACGAAACGGATATAAAGGAAAGTGGGGGCACAGAGCTTCATTTTCAATTGCCCTTTTCTGAATATACGAGAGCAGTTTTACGATGTACAGTTTCTCTGTATTCTGCTGATTATTTTGCAGCAACGCACTTTAAGAAGTGCGTTTAGACTCCTCCCAATACAATGTTGCATATTGGCGGGCTGTATTTCCTTACCTGGCGAGGATTAAGTAAACCTGCACACTCCAGTGTTTCACTCTATTGCACTGCAACAGTCACTGTAGTTGAAATTTCTTATCTCCCGTTTGTCGCTAAAATATGCGTACATTTTACATTGAGCGTCAGTCGAAAACGCGTCATATGAATCTATCCATCATCATCCATCGCTGGCAAAGTACATTTGAATCTATACGGTTTTAGCCGACAATCACAAACCCTGGTAACACATCGCTGACTGACAAGTGAATCAATTGCACGGAATTCCATGTCCTTCCATGAAAAGGGATTAAAAAATTAGATATTTTTTTCAAATACAACACTAGTACGCCATCTCATTTAGATGGATTTTTTTTTGTACTAAGAAATGAAACACCTTATATTTCTGTTTATATTACGTGGCCACCGACAGAAAAATAACGACACTTGCGCATTTACCGTAGATTTTAACGGAGGTGCGGTGACTCAGACTAGATCTTGTGTTCGTGATCTACCTGCACAAACATCCAGTCGGGCTACTTGTCGGCGCCGTGAAGGGAAGGGAACAGTGCATGCTTTGCTGATGTTATTTGATCTAAACCAGGGTGTGGAGTTTAAAGTGCAAACCCTGTGCTATAAATAAAGTTCTGCGTCATAAATAGTGTACAGGAAGATTCTTGTACTGCTGTTTGTGCGTAGGCTGTTCTTCAAAGTCGACGTATGTAACATCGCACATAAGCGAATCTTGCACTGGAAAAAGGAACCTGGTTTTGTGAAATCGCGCATGAAAATGAAGCTAACTTAAAAGGGAATTAGCTGCAAGCTATTGAGCGCTAGGCGATGCCAACGCGATTAGAAGAAACGGAAGAATTTCCATCTATTTGTCCGAGGCGTAACAGGAAACCTTGTGAACTTCTTCACTCTGCCTCTGTCGAGTTCGCTGCCTCGGTCTCTGTGCAGAGCCAGTGACGTAACACCCGCGTCGCCGTACGCGAGAACCAGTGTCAACAAGGTCATACTTACGTCACAGCCGGGTGCGTCTATTGAAGAAGTTTAATAAACATCCGACAGGCTCGGTGTTGCGAACTTTCTGTCGCTTTATAGGCACTTGAATAAGTTGCTTAATATTTCTGTTAATCTCGAATCCCAGACGCATATTTAATAGGCACGGTCATGCCTTAAGGTATAAATTGAAGTAAAACTGTTAGTGGAATTATAACACTCGGAAGTCAAGTCATTTGCAACTGTACGATGAAGACTTGGACTGAGAAGGATAAAGTGTTCGAAAAGATTGAGGCCCTTTTCAGCTCTTCCTCCTCCTAACAAACTAGCTCTTTGTAAAACTCACGTTTTCCTTGTTTGACAGAGGTACTTTGCACTTTCACGTTTTAATGAAAAACTCCCACTTCATTTTTGTTGCAAAAATCCTCTGCGGTCAAATGATTTACCTTGAAAGACTAAAAAAAAAAAAATCAACGAGCTTCCTGGAATTGACCCAAACGACTAAATAGTTTAGGTTTCATTTCCTCATGACACCAGTATCGAACCGGTTTTAATCCTCCAGAGTCAGTGCTGAGCCCCACCCCAATTTTCCTCTGGTGGAGCAAAGGCCCGGTTGCAAATAGTCTTACACGAGGGCGACAACCGCAAGCCGTAAACCGAAAGTGTTCGTCATTTTCTGTGCTGACGTTCGTTGAGAAGAGAAATCGGTTCTGGACAACCTCGGAATCACACCTGCCGTTAACTTCTAAAACGTCTGGAAAGCCGAAGTGCAAAACCCGCTGTTATAAATCATTCGGTGGCTTTTAATGGGGGAATCTTTAGTAGAAAGGGACGATGGTTTACTACAAATGCCTACATTTTTCAGGATAGGGTGACGATGTCACCCTTTATTTTACATATCTGTTCAATAAAGCGTAGCACGTATCTGGCTTTATTTAACACATACGGAAAAGTTATTTTGTATTCGGCTTGGAAGATGAATTAATCAGTCTCATTACACGACCGCTTATGTATTGCCGATAGAAAAAGTTTCCAAAGTCAGACTCAGCAGTGGCACAGCAAGCGATGCACACGCGATCCTGAATTGACCGCAGGTCGCAGCTTGGCGGCAGCAGGCGTATAGTCAACTCATGTGTCACAAAACTGTGAAATGGGACCGACTCCAAAATATTTTTAATACTGTAACGGATTCGGGTTCTCGGGCACGTGCCCTCGTCCCTCCACCACATGGGCGGGAATATCCCTGTTACGCGCAGGGGCGTATGCAAACTAAATGGACAAAGCCAGAACATAAATTGCTTTTAAAGAACATTAAAGCAATTTTCTCTTGCTATACCTTCCTTTTCCCTTAAAAAAAGATTTTTCCTGACCTGCCTATAAGCTTGTGTTATCAAGATACTTTGGCCAGCAGTATAACGGGCTCCTCTCAGCTGTACCTGCGACCCTGGTTTCAGCCACAGCATTTAAGAGCAAAAAAGATCTCACTTTTATACATCATTACATTTACATTTATTTGGTTGATGCTTTTATCCAAAGTGATTTAAATTTCACCCATCTAAACAGCTGGGTAGTTTACTGAAACAATTTCGGCAAAGTGCTTTGCTTAAGAGTACAACAGTGGCGTCTCAGCTGGGATTTGAACCCACAACCATCCAGTTACGTGTCCGTAGCCTCAACCGCAGCACCACACTGCTGTCTTTAAGCTTTCCCGAATCTTCCTGCAGGGACTGATTCGGGCAGGGAGGGAGCGCTGCACTGGACCTGCAGTTCTAATTGATAAAACGGTCAGGGCTCTCTGAGCAATGGGACTGCGAGTTAGCTGTGGTATACTGCTGGCACCGCTGTGCCAGTTGGTCTCCTTTCCCTCCTCTCCCCAGGCATATCTGTGTGGCATCAGAGGGCACAATGTAGCAACACAAATGCACCATTTTACTCCCCTCCTCTCAGCCTAAAGACCACCAATACCAAAATGCAACAAAACCTTAAGAGCTTGGGAGGAGATTGGAGAATCTTTCCCATCTGACAGAAATATAAAAACCGATGTTTCACTCCTTGTACAGATGATTACTGCACAGGACAGAGAAGTTGTGAAGAAAAACTGATTTCTTGCGAGATCCTGGAGAGACTAGAAAAACCAGGAAAGAGTGTACAAAAAAGACAGATGAATCAAAGGCGATTTTACTCATTGAACACATAAAAGGAAATATATTTAAAAAACTGTTCATACTGAAGAGCTGCTTGTCATTTGCAGAGGAATTTATACAGGGCAGTCTGAAGTAAACAGTTTGTCATGTACATAGCTTTTTTTTTGTTGATGCACAAACTGGGTCTTCATTTGCTAAGTATTTATTTTTTTGACTTGCAAAATGTGTGCACCTCCTCAAAACAATTACACACAGAATAAAAATCAGCTTTTTTTTCCCCCTGTTCATTAAACTTAATTAAAACATTAATACTCTCAGACAACACATTTCTGAAATGGCGAATCTGGATAAATCTTCTTTCCCCTCATTTTTTTCTTACAACAAATTAAATTGAGACAAATTTACAAACACATCTCACCACATGATTAATAAAAATCAGTCGTTTATAAAGTTGCCCAAAATGCAAGGGATGTGCATAGGTGTACATTTTTCTTCTCTGTAAATATTTAATCCCCTTGGGTGCGTTTTGTCTTCCAAACTAATGGAATGTTCTCTGCTGTAGATAACAGTAGTTTTGACACTGGTAACACCAACAGCATGAAAGCTTGCGAATGTCCACATGCATAAGACCTCATTCAATTCTCTAAAACATTTATCTATTTAGAGAGACAGTATCTGAGTGAAGGTAGGTATTTTCAGGTGTGCACAAAAAAAAACCCATCTGAAAAGTGTACTATGTGCATTTTATACATCTTTGCACACACACACTTATTACGCACACATACAAGAGCTAATTTACCTGATTTCAATTAAAATTCAAATGAAAGAAATGGGGGGTGTTGAATCGTTAAAGTCACACTGTAGTGTTTTATGTGCTTTACATTTGTCCAGCGATGATACACCACGAAAAAAAGGCAAGTTTTCTTGTGCAGAGGGCCGATTCGATCAAACTGACCCCCCGTTGTTAATGAAGGCTACAGTTTGAGATTTAGTCACAGGAGGGGTCAGGTTCCTCATGTCTTTCCTTGCCAGAGATGAATTAAGATACTGTCTCTTTAAAAAAAATCTCTATAAAATGTTGCCTCCTATCTATAAGGACATGACAATATTCAATTTTTTATTTTTTTTATGCAACACTACGTCTAGGTAGTCTGAAGGGGGCCAAGACCTATTGACCGCAGGTCGTGTACACTGAGGTTTCTGACTGTCTGAGGTGGTTTCTTTTCCAAGGAATGATGAAGTTTCCGCAGAAATGCATTGTAAAGGTTGGGGAGGCAGGGAGGCATGTTGGGAGGGCAGGGGCCTAATAGACCCAGGACACTGGCACCCACTGTGGTGTTGTACACACCACGTCGATGGCTTCCTCCAGGTGTCTGATGGTCTCGTCGATCTCGTTGTTGATGATCGTCAGGTCAAAGTAGTGCGCGTACGTCTTCTGGAGAATCTCGGATTCCTTCTGCAGCCTCTGGAGGGATTCGTCCTGAGAGCCACAAATGAGAGAGGGAGAAAAAAGAGAGAGGGGGGCTCATTGCTCACAGTGCAATCGCTGGGTGGAAAATATTCAGTACGCAAAATAACTTGAATGGGTGAGGTAGGGGGTACACACGCGTATGAAATGGAGTCCCCTCATTTGCTAGTCGAGGTAAAAGGGCTAAGAGAGCAAGAAACATTGAAGTGGGAGCTAAAATGAATAAAATGTTATTTTTATACAACAACTTAAAAACAGTACACGATGAAGTGAAAATGAAAAACTGAAACATTCTAGACAAGGAAATGGAATGGCCGATGTCCTCAGAAGTCAACATCACCCCTCAGGCAGTGAAAGGACTATAAGCTCAGAAGTACATAGTACTAGCACAGAAGAGGCAGAAGTGTTTCAGGAACTAGAAACACTGAAATGGAACAATTTGCTATTTTACCAACTGAACTTAAGGAAATAAGCCACTGACGTAAATCTTGCACCTCAAGACAGGGTCTGGTGAATTACTACAAACGTAGTGTTCATCCAGAAGAACGGTGACAAAACTGACCCAAGTATAGAACAAAAAGTCTACATTCTATGACTAGAACTAAAAATAGAGGTCTGCTTGGAAACAGGATCCTAAAAGGCAGTGAACAAATTTACAAAAAGTATGACCTTGCTTAGCTAACTTGTTAGAATGTTTTGAACAAGAAACAACAGTAGAGAAAACACCAAGCACACAACAGATGCCATTTCAGGATGTAGAATTTCAGGTGGCTGTGGATACAGTTGCCCATAAAAGAGTAATTCTCAGATTACAGGCATAAGGCAGACAGGGAAATGTGAGTTTGTTTTGAGAATTGCTTCCAGAATACAGCTAAGGGCAGAGTGCTCTAAATGGGGTGATGTAATTAGTAGTTTAATTTATACTGATGATCTAGACTTTGATATAGTAAGTAAACATGTCAGGTTTTTAGACAATACAATCCAAAATAGGAGGTTTAGCACACAATGAAGAAAGAGAAAATCAATTGAAAATAAATTAAAATTTAATTCAAGATACGGCAAACAGCTGGCAGATGACATTTCACAGACACATGCAGAATATTGCAAGCAGGCATCAAAAACATCTGGGAAGCACTGAGCTTCATGAGACTACTTATGAAGATTTAAGTGATGTTGAAATGTTCATATCTTCTGGACAATACAGAGAAACAAACCAAAAAGGCAAAAAAAAACACTATATGTGAAAGGTAAAGCTGTATAAGGCACAAGTAAGACCTTATCTAGGATGCTGCGTGCAATTTTGGTCTACATCTCACCAAAACGATATTTCTTCTTTCTGCTTTCTCCTTAAAGGAATGGCCTACACTGGCATGCTAACAGACCTGAATCTGTTTAATCTTGAACAGAGAAGATTACAAGAGGTATCTGTTCCAAGTATTGAAAATCCTCAAAAGCCACTGACAAAGTCAAGCCAAAGGACTTCAGAATGCACAGTGAAATATGAGCCAGAGGACACAAGTGGAAATTAAACATTTCCTTCCCAGAGGTTCCATGATTTACTGCTTACTTTTAAAATATTCAGGTTTTTCAATAAAAATGCTTGGAAATGTATCAGAATTTTGTGAGCACAAAATGTTGTGTAAGATGCCATTTAAGATTTCCAAACAAGCTCTTTGCAGCGCAGGAATGACAACAGGTCACAAAATATGTTACAAAAAGCACCCTGAAACACACAATGCTGGATTTATAAACTTAAATGTTCCCAGAGTCTTAAAATAATTGTAAATCCTTCTGAAGGCAGATTAATGAAGAGGCACTGAAGATTATTTATAGTGGAAAGGAAAAATCATTAAAATCACTGGGCAAAAAAAAAACATTTCTATCTACCTTTTATAAACTCATTTGAATTAATCTAGCTGTGCTCCACAAATCCCTATCTCTTAGTCTTCACTGATGTAAAACCCACATGATCCACAGACTGACTTCACTGTCCTCCAACACCCAGGTTAAATGCTGCCAACACTGGGTGCATGCTTAAGCAGCAGCTATTGTAGGAAGGGGAAAGTAACCCATCTATCAGCAGAAAGCCGCTTATTATTTATTCCTGTCATACCAGCAGCCATATCACCCTGCAGCACTGGCAACCCACTGAAGCTCAGCAGGTGTGAGCTCGGTCAGTACCTGGATGGGAGACCTCCTGGGAAAGCAAAGGTTGCTGCTCTCACCCTACAGTCTATGTGGGTCCTAATGCCCACATACAGTATAGTGACAGGGACACTACCTGTAAAAAGACGCCGTCTTTCAGATGAGACATAAAACCGAAGTCCTGACTCTCTGTGGTCATAAAAATCCCAGGGCGTTTTTCGAAAAGAGTAGGGGTGCAACTCCTAACCAATCATGGCCTCCTAAAAATCCCCATCTATGAATTGGCTTCATCACTCTGTTCTGCTCCCCGCTAATAGCTGATGTGTTGTGAGTGTTCTGGCGCACTATGGCTGCCGTCGCATCATCCAGGTGGGGCTGCACACTGGTGGTGGTGGAGGGGATCCCCATTACCTGTAAAGCACTTTGAGTGGAGTGTCCAGAAAAGCGCTATATAAGTGTAAGCAATTATTATTACAGCAGCCTGAAGCCCATTCTGGAATCACAGGGCACAAGGTGGGATTGATCCTGCACAGGACTCCAGTCCATTACAGGACACACACTACTATCTATTAATATCTTGTACTGAGAGGAATCCAGAAGACAGGGACAGGTGCAGAGCACAGAGCACTAGGAACACGCAGCGATGACGACTACCGACAAACACACACTAAAAAGCTATCACTATAAACAGGGAGTGGGCCCCAGATCCACAGACTAGCTTCTGGTAATACTTACAGGCAATTTTCTGCACCACCTGGGCAGCTGAGGAGAATGAGAAGGGAATGCAAGAAAATAAAATGGAAGCACGAACAGAGGACAGGCAAATTAAAAAAAGACGGCAAAGAGAATGCGCACACGGGAAAAGAAAAACAAGATGCCTGATGATGTGAAGGGATGACAACCTGCAGGAGAGCTGCAGTCCATCACCAGTGACTGAAAGAGAGAGATTTTAAATGCTGTTCACGTCAGGCAGCCATTATTCATTTACTATAGGCCATTTACAAAAGAACTAACCATCTGGGCTGCTCTTATAAATAGACAATACAATAGCCGATAGCCCTACACAGCTGTTTGTGAATTCAGCATACACAGGCAACAGAATAATGAATGACCGACGGCAGGGCAGTCTGCAAAGCTCAACTTCCCTCAAGAACAGGTAAGAAAAGTAATCAGTGGAAGCATGCAAATATGCTTCAAAAAACACATTTCATGTGTTCTCGGAAGTGCTCAAAGGACAGTGAAGTAAAAGCTCTTCAGGTTATTTTCCAGACATTATCCCCAATCAGTGTCTCACATTAAAGGACAGGAAACCACGTTAGAAATTTCAAAGAGATTTTTGTTTTTATAAAAAAGATGCTCGTCTTGGACAAACTTAACAATTTTACGGCTAACAGTCAGTAGGTTACAGTATATAAAATTAAAAAGCTCATTCAATGTTACAGGTGATATGAGAATGCACACAAACACTTTTTTACCAGCAAGCATTGCTAGTTAAATATTTAGCATTTAGTAGGCAATTATTTTGAAAAATGTGCTGCAAGGACAATACAGCTGTAACACTACTGTGCTTCACAGTGACTGGAAAGCACAGGGCTCTGTGCAATAATAGTCATTTTAAGCACTTAAGGAGTCAGGACCCCGTGGTAAGCTATCAACATGGTACCAGTCTCCACTGCATTACCTTAAATGTGTTAATAAAACAAATAGCTTCATTATAGTATTAAAAATTGATACCTTTGCATCTTCCATGTCTATGTTTTTCTGATCACCAACATACACAAAAATCTAAACTTACAATTGTCACAAACAGCCAATCTGGAATTGTCATTTGAGTCTCAACGCACAGCTGCAAACCCTGTCGCCGCAGATGGGAGAACAAGGAAGCAGAGGCAGACTCCTCCTCCTGCCCATCTCTGAACATGCCACAGGTTGCACTGCCCTATAAACTGGGAGACCAGCACTGATTGGAGGAGACCCACATCTCCCACCAACGGAAACACAAGCCTGCAAGCTTCCAGAAGGTTGCAGGGGTCACCTTGTTGCTGAAAGCTTAGGGAACTGTCTGACTAATCCAACCGGCACCAGGGGAATCCCACTCACAGTTGACTAGTGCTATGAAGCTGTCTCCAAGAATGGTACTCAACAACACTGATTAGGCATCAGGCAACTAAAAGTCTTCAACATTGCATGAAAAAGTTTGCAAGGCTTTGTATGATTTAGAAATCTGAAAATATACATCTTTCAAATACCACACTGCTTAGCTGATCCACATGAACAATATAGTGACATCTCAGACTGTGACCTTCAGAACAGACTGAAGTTAACTTACTCCTTTTGCTAATGGACCAAGGTACGCTACTTCCACGTTTTGATCGGCTGATTTAAAAAAAAATTCTGAAGCTCTAGGCAGCCATTTTGAATTGAATAAAATATTTTTAGTCTATTAATATATTTTAGCAAAACCTTTTTCCTATCTAAGATCAAGAGCATTAAAAATGCTAAAAGGTTTCTGATCGTAGAGTGTCAAGAAAAATCTAATTACTCAAACGTTTGGCCATGTTCTGAACTGTTGATGAGTGCAGCTCTCCTTCAGACTTCCTCTAGACAGCAGACAACTCAGCCACTTAAGAGTTCCTTTTTCTTGATTTCAGGGGTGGTTACCTCACATCTGAACTGTCTCTGCGTGTGCACCCTGTTACATATACAAGATCATGCCGCATTTAAAAGGAATATCACAGCCTAAACATCTTTCTTTCATCACCAAGTTTGCAGTGTTTCTATGACATCACATGCAATTATTAAAAAAAAAAAACATTTTTTAAGGAATATTGCTGGGCAGTGAGAGGCACTGGCAGAGTAAAACAGCTCACTAGATCTGTGTACTTGGTGCAGCTCTGAATTGGTTCCCAATGAAGAT